CACCTTCAGAGCCACTCATATCAGATTGCTCAATGATTAGAGGCCAGACAAACTCAGCGTGCTGATCATCCAGGTCGGGGTTTGGAATGAGGGTGGCTTTTTATTCCTTAAAACGGTCTCTTTGTAGCCCACCGCCAAACCCGGTACCTCCTGGTCAAGCTTATTAAACCAAGAGATTTGGTTGAGAACCCTAATTGTTCTCCTGTCTAGGTCTGGGCAACCTGACAGTATCCCGCTCACGCAATACAGTGAATCTTTCCTCAAACAATTTCTTGATGCTCTGACTGTCAGAGGGAATAATCAACTATGCCTTATCTGCTGCATCCAGCTGGGTGGATGGGAGTTTGGATGCTAGTGCACAAGCCTTCCCATCTTTTTCTTCCTAATATTACGCTTTCTCACCCTTATCGTCCTGTTCAAACTTTACTTTTATACTCCCAGTTCTAAAACCCCGATTCTTAGCCCTCTCCCAACATGCTTTGTTAGGCTTTCCTTTTTTGTTGTCAACTCACATGCAAAAGAAGAGGGTCACTTTTGTCCTGTCGACGAGGCCATGTCAAAAGCAAGCGTTCCACCCCGGTTCAAAGTCTTCCATTTGGATCCCTCGATCCTCCAGTTTGACTGGCCTCAACGCACACACATTGCTACAAATCGGTTAACAGGCAGTACTCACGTGAACATTAGAGACACTCTCCATCGATATCTGCTGCTTATCGGAGACCCGCCTGCAAGACTCGTGCTCTGTGCTCACTCTGCAATCCCCTTCAGGTGACACCAGCAGTATTTCCTCATTGTACTTATCCGGTGGCGATGCAGCTTCGAGCACCGGGCAAGCTGGTGTTGGCAGTGCCTTGAGTCCCCGGGCTGAAGCTGCTCTGGTTGATCGGATCCCACTCAGTAGCCGGATGTGTGTCGTCCGATTGGCTGGCTCTTTCAAAGCTTCGAAGTCGCGCGGGACTAACATATGCCTATTCGTCGTCGTTGCCTACGCTCCCGCAAACTGTATCGATGATTCCGTGAAAGACGACTTCTATCCTCAACTGAACGAGCTCCTTCACCAAAGAAGAAGCACGGACACTGTTGCGTTGGCGGGGGATCTGAACGCACAATTTGGAAAGTTGTCCACTGATGAAATGCATCTGGGCGGTCAGCACGGTGTAGGCTACCGTAATAATAAGCGTGAGCGGTTACTTCATTTGTGGGATGATGCCCGATTATTTCTTACGAGCATTGATTTCAGACACAGCACCCGCTGGAGGGTGACTTTGCGCCCACTATCGTCGAACCAGCTATGGACGCAAATCGATCACACTGCTATCAGTTACCGCTGAAAAGACTGTGTCCAGAACTGTCGCTAGATTTGGGACACTGAGTGAAAACAGACTATGCACTTGTATGTGCTGATAAGCGGATGCGTTTTGGCGGACGCCCACAACGACGCTGTGAGCGCATTGACACCAGCCAACTGACAAAGCCAGCTATTCTGAATGCGTATCGAAATACGCTGACGTGAGGGTTGAGTAAGCGCTCATTGGCGACAATTGAAGGTTGACTGAAGCAGGGGGAATGCTGCTCCTCAGCAACCTAAAAATTCCCATTAATTAGAATGAATCAAGGGAGGCAGAATCAGAGCGAAAAATTCTTTTCGGTAATAACCGAAAAGCATTCTTTACTCAGATTCTGCCTCCCTTGATTCATTCTAATTACCACTGTAGGTCACTGGTGTTATGTTCAGCAGACCTTACCAGCAGCAGGAAAATCCTCATGTGGTATGTCTACTCGCCAACATTTACATTGGGTCTCTTCGCGGTCTCTGAAACTTATCGATGGTCGCCGGCATATTCCGGCTGAAAGCGAACACAATGCAACCCTCACAGAGCTCCGGTCAAAAATCCGTGCTAGCCTGAATAAAGACCGCGAATCTTGCTGGTCTCATCGTGCATCCGCGATGGAAGTGGCCGCTGCCCTTGACAACCATCGCAAATTAGTGCGGGATGATACAGGAAACGGGCAGCAAGAGACTTGGTGTTAGTGAAACAGTTTGTGATAAAAGTGGACAGCCGATCCACAACTTGTCAAAACGCTTGGACCGTTGGGCTGAGCACTATGAAAGACAATTTAATCAGCCGAGATTGTTAACTTCACCGACCGCTGATCGCTCCGCTCCGCGGTCTGTCCATTTGGTTCCACCCTCTCACTCAGAAGTCGAACGTGAGATCGTACTGCTGAAGTTAAAGAAAGCCGCGGGACAAGATGCCCTTCCTCGAGCCCTCTTCAAATTCGGGGGACCTGCCCTGTTGGATGATTCACACAAGTTACTAGCGAAACAGTGGGAGCAGGTAATTGTCCCAAGAGACTGGAGCCACTCCGTCATAGTCACAATTTCTAAGGGATGCTCACTTTTTGAATGCGCAAATATAGAGGAATCAGTTTGATCTCCATCGTCTCCAAATTGCTTGCCTCTGTCATCCTTCAAAGACTAACTGGCACTCTTGAAAGCCAGATTCATGAGGAACGAGCTAAGTTTCGTCGAGATCGTGGCTGCATTGACCACATCTTCGCTTTAAATCAGCTGTTGGACCACCGCCAAATATATTGGCAGCCTACCGTTGTCTTGTTCCTCGATATCAAAGGTGCTTTTGATTCGATGGATAAACGAGCACTTTAGAACTGTCTACTCAGGAAAGGTGTACCTGAGAAACATGTGAAAATATTACCTGAGCATTATACGCGCGTAGCTCGGGCGGAGTGAGGGCTTCCGACAGACTGTCGTCGCCCTTTAATGTCTCCAGCGGTGTGAGACAAGGATGCAGGCTTTCACCTTTCCTCTTTAACTTCGCTATCGATGAAGTCATTGAACTCGCCTTCACAGGACACGACTTAGAAGATGTGGATCTGCTCCCAGGAGAACGACTTCCTGACTTGAAGTATGCTGACGATATATCCCTAATCTGTGACAGCTCACGACTGTGCCAAGCGACTAGGACAGATTAATATTAGCTGTCCGTCCCTTCAGCGTTTGCTTCGCACGCTCGAAGTGCAAAACGTTCCTCCGAGATTGGCCTCTACCGCCTCCTTCGCTGGCCCTTTTTGGGGATCAGATAGAAGTCGTACAAAAATTCAACTACCTGGGAAGTTGTATCAGCGCCCGTGGGATCGAAAATGAGATCACGAACCGTATAGCAACAGCTTGAGGCGCTTTAGCTAACCTACGCTACTTATGGCGCCGGCGCGACATCGATCTCGCCCTGAAGGGTAGAGTGTACAATGAAGTGGTACGTTCGACCCTATTGTACTGTTGTGAAACCAGACCCCCTAAATCAGCGGATCTAACTAGGCTAGTTACGTTTGACCACCGGTGCCTTGGTAATTTACCTCACGTCTGGTGGGAACACCGAGTTAGCGACGACCGTCTTGGAAGCCTTGTTTACGGCACAGAAAAATGAAATGAACCGCTCCGCACGGTTATTTCACACACCATGCTCCGATGGCTCGACTGCGTGTTGCGCATGCCAGCCCACCGACTCCCGCGACTTGTGTCGTTTGCGCACCGGGGGTGTGGATGGAAGAAGACGTGGGGTGGCCAAGCGATAACTTGGTCGAGAGGAATGAAGGCCCCCACTTTGCAGCTGGCCTTGGTTGGAGCGTCACGGCTCCCTGGTTGGAGTCCAAAAGACGATAAACCCGTTTGGTTAGTTACACTTTCTGACATGGCTGGGAGCCGGCCCTAGTGGCGTTCATACTGTGAGTTTCTTTATCCCTCCCCATCCCTCTTAGCCTCCCCCTCCAATCAGGATCTCTTTTCAGCATAATATGAGTTTACATAATAATTTTTGTGCCTAGTAGCCAGCTGGTATCTTTCCGAAACCATGCCAATCCGTTACCGGTGGCTCAGTTGGCTTGCACCTGTTGCATATTTTCTCCTTTTTTCTGTCTATTACGGCATAATTGCTGAGGTGTTTCCCACCTCTAGCTAACATGTATAATGAGAATGATGAACCTGACCCAGTGGATTGGTTAGCGTTCTGTACTTTTCCAGCTTTAAGAGCGGCGCGCATCGGTTAAGCGAGCCTGGTGGTTGCAAGGTCAAAACAGCAAATCCTCCTGTGACTGTAGGAGTATTCGCTGTTTGCTTAACGTTTCTCGATAACCACACCAGACCACATAACGGGGAATGCAAATTAATACTTATTTGCCCCTATATACTTATGGTTTACTATTCATTAGGTAACCATTAGCTCAGTCAATCCAATCAGCTTTCCACTGCATTCAAGCATCCGTCACCCGGTGGACACGGAATGGAGCGTTGCTTGAATGCAACTCCACACTAAATGCTTTACTGGTTCCGAGCTAGCTTACCTAAAAACCGGTAGATTTTAAGCACTTTTCATGCACATCTAACTACAACGATTCAAGATGATGAGACAAATTCATCGAGGCCGCGGTAACTAGTAACCTCAATGGTATTGTGAAAAGCATCCTGCACCTTTATTATCTATGCGGAACACATCCTAATCAGACACAGTAAAGTGACTTACTGGTAATTCATAAAATGCACGCAACCAATACTGTATACTACATCACACGTTAGTTTGTAACTCAAGGCTGACAGACCGTTGCTGAGGGGTGCGCTATCCTGTCCAATAACAGGCGGCAATGAGGCAGCAACTGGTAAATGAGCCGCGCTATGTTATAGATCGTTACACAAGTATGTCGGCTACCGTCAACTGCCGCAGTCCAGAAGCCTAGCTTTTTCTGTGTAAATGTACGTTTACTGGTTAACATATACGTGAAAGCAAATATCTGCGGATAAAAGATACTACTTCGAGTTCATTTTAGAATGTTATTGAATGTTTACCTAGTCCCAGCTTTTGAACGGTACAAATTCTTATACTACTTTTCACTGTGTTGTGGTATGCACAAGTTAGAAAGCAGCTGCCTGCCTGAATCCTGTCAAACGGCATACACTAACAAATTTTCCCTATATTTTTCGTTGCCAGATTTACAATCCCACAACAAACGCTTATTCTCAAACAACAAAGTCGTACTGCCGAAGTCTTACACCAGTGCTGGTTCGTGAAAACCGTAAGCTCAAAAATTATTTCCGAACATTAAATTTGCTATACTGTCAGCCTCTACGATCACACAATGGAGGTCCAGGGGCCAAGATATGCACACTTGTAGGGCTCTTTTAGGGCAACCAAAGATCGGTGAGTAGGCTTGATCGTGGCGAGCGATTTAAAATAACATATTACTAGACAGCTGTTCATAGAAGACACCTGAATCAATTAGCGGAATATGGATCCCAGTTGATTCCCATAATTTCCCTCCAAGTGAATCAATGCGATGAACACTTTATCTACTCGCCGAATTCCATATAACGGCGCCTAACTAAAATGAGGCATAATACCTTCACTTTGCTGTCGCATCTGCATACAACAATTATGTTGTTGAGAAGCGTTGAGAACTACTGGACTAGTGAAAACCCGTCCTGATTAACGTTCCTAATGGCGTACCAATACTAAAACATAAATCATATCAAACATAGTAGCTATGTTCGAGGCGGATGAGGCAAACAGGAGCAGAAGTCAGGGCCATGACTCACCGAGCGAACGGCTGGTGAGGCGGCTGCGAGCAAAGGTTATCGCAGGGAAGGGGTTAGTAGAATACCAGCAAGTAGTGTACAATCGATCAGTGATATATTTGTACCTAAGAGCTAAGAAGCAAATTTTGGGGCGCTACTGAGGCTGATTTTATCGCTGTGTCGTCAACATTGTTAAAAAATAGGCTAGTGGTTGGATAAACAGAAAGGTGGGAAGCCAGATATATAGACAGATAGATTGATAGAATTTCTCAGAAACGGTGATAGAAGCCTCAAAAAAGCATACTTAATAACTACACGACAACCAATACAGATGTAAGAAAGAAACTGTCTACATTCTAACTGTGGATCCAATCACTTTCCCCAGTAGTACCTAGCATTTGAACAAAGTGCTGGGGAAAGAAACTTCTTGATAAAAGTCGAAAAGAAGCGTGCTGAAGACAGCATGTGTAATTTGCTACTTAAAACCATTCAACTTTGTAGCAATAACGTATCCCCTAGGAACGCATTCGCAACAATGAACAATGATTGAACAATGATTTATCACGGGACGAAAGCAAATGCTTGACATGTCCCGTAGGATGGTTGGGGTGAATAAGATGAAATCAAAAGATATCTGAGTCATCTACTGAACGTCTGCCTAGAGGAATACTTCGGTACATCACATTACTGTAATTTTTAAGCAAAACATCGGGCGTAAACTTTCAGAAAGACACTGGGATGCAGTGATCGTTGACGTAAGGAGTGAGAAAAGTAAAATATGGTTGTTCACTTGGGTCCTTGTAATGCATAATTCCTGTAGAAAAGTATGCTTGGCGTAATTCACAATAGAGGAGTTTAGGTAACAAAATGCTGGGAGCTAAGAGCAACATCTAATCGTTTTTTGAAAACATCCAAGGTAGGAGAGGATACAACTGAGTCTGAGAGTGCGTTCCAGGGTTTGCAAACCCGAAGGGAAAAGTAATTACGTCGACACTCTAGACGGCTATATTGTTCCTTCAATTTTAAGCAGTTACCACTGAGCTGCTTGTCGTGGCTAAGTTTCAACATATGGCGGCATAAATAGTTTGGGTCACTCCATATCTGATACGCTAATATGAAATCGCTGCGCAGCCTTCGATAGCGTACGCTGAAAAGTCCCAGCAAATTCAGCCTTCGGTGGTAAGAGTAATAGCGCAGGCCCTTTACATTTTTTGTTGTTCTTCGTTATGGTGCCTCTAAAGCTTCCAGTTCGCGCTTCAACCAAGGTTGTCAAGCTTGGATAGCGTATTCAACATGCAGGCGCCCGTAGGAATTGTGCATCATGGAGAAGGTTGTTGAGTCAAATCTCCCGAATGCCCTTCGCAGCATGCCGACGTGCTGGTTGCTTATTTTCGCAGCCACCTCAGCCTGTTTTGAACAGTTGTGGTCGCTCTGTATGATCACACCATGGTCACGTTCCTGGGAACTGGTCTGCAATCCGTTTGTCCATAGCAAATATGTTTAATTATCTCTATGGCTTAATTGTACAACGCGACATTTGTCTACGTTGAACGGTACGGCGTTGTGAACTGACCAGTTCGACACCGTGTTAAGATCGCACTGGAGTTGTTCATGGTCGTCCGGTCCTCTGCTCCTTCGCCATATCTTGATATCATCAGCGAAAAATAGCAAATCAGAAGCAGTATATCTCGCCAAATCGTGCATGAACACCAAGAATAGACAAGGCCCAAGCACCGAGCCTTTTGCCACTCCACACGCCACATCGATTGCATCAGACAATGATCCTCGGACTCACAGCACTAGCCGTCGCCCGTGCAGAAAATTGCTAAACCAACTCAGGATTCGGTCACCCATGCCGTAGTTTCGAAGCTTCTGAAGGAGAATGCGATGGTCTAAGCGATCAACCGCTTTTAAAAGTCCAGGCAGATGACATCGACTCCTACTCCATCGTCGACAGCTTCAGTCCAGCTATTACGTGCAATTAATAGGTTAGTATTACGCAAATGCTTTTGATGAAAGTCATGTTGCTCTGGGGTTATTAAGTTGTGGCTTTTCAGACGCTGCATCAGCGCATCTGTGATGATTGCTTCCATCATTTTGGATAGTACGGGAAGTAGTGTTATTGGACGGTAATTGGCAGGATCAGTGCAGCTACCTCCTTTATGGATGGGAGTGATGACCCCTCGCTTCCATACTGGTGGAATATGGTTCTCTTCTAAACATCGCTGATGGAAAACAGCCAGTGATTCTGCTAGATTACTAGCAATCGCCTGTAGAGACTTAGGTCGGATGTTGTCGGCTCTGGGAGAACTGTGGATACACAAGGATAACAACTTCTTCAACACAGCCTTCGCATTGGAGGTGATGTTATCTAAACCCGACGGTAGAGTACTAGAAATGAGGAGAATGTTTGGGCTCGTTACCTGCTGGAAAGTCTGGGAGTAATGAAGCCGTAGGAGATCAGCTGCTTCCATTGCTGATCGTGTGCATCCAGCAGCTGAGACTATTGCTGGGATCCCCCGCTTCAACTTTCGAAGGCCGTTAACGTGCCTGTACAGAAGTTTGCGGTTCGTCCAGAATTGCTTCATTAGCTCCTGCTGATGCGTGACCTTATCTTCGCGGATCAGTTTAATCTATTCACTTGCATTGAGGCACTGCAATGTGTTGTTCTCTGAACCATGGACAGAAGTGAGGCTGAATGGAGTAGCATCGTTCAAACTGATAAATGCCAGTTTACTGACCGCTTCTATTTGTTCTAACTACTGCGCTTCGCTCAAATATCCGATCTGCGCAATGAACATGGAGTTGGTGTGAGATATCGCGTTCCAGAGCGCATTTAAGACTGAGGAAATAGAAAGCAAAATCTGAGCGAGAGACTCGATTCCCACGGTTGTAACATGCTTAAGGCTAAACTAGCATCTCCGCGCATCTCCGCAAGGCCAATGAACACGCTAAAAATATGGCAATAAAATGACACTTGTGATAGCACAACTTAGTGAAAGCGGCATTGTTAAGACTAATTTTTGGGACCTTACTGCTCTGTTAACGTTCTTTTGAGAATAACGATAGTATAGCAAATCCTTCGTTTCATTTTGGGCTTAACGTGATTATTCCTAGCTTCATACCCAGTTGTGGTAGTAAATATAGTATAATTGTTCTACTTTTGACCATTGTGCATAATTACTATGACACCTAAACACTATGTTCATCTGTCTTTCCCGAATGACTCAAAATAAGCCCTGATTTTAAAATAATGCTTTTAGTAACTACTGCTTATGAACAATGTAATCAGAATTGCTATTTAATCCTTAATGGTATCAGTGGCTCTTTCGACATACGGTTCGCATTGGGTGGTCCACGGTGTCTCAGCGATATGCTGAAATTTAACGCCATCGCATAGAATTAATACGGAATTACCAATAAAATGATCATGTTCTAGGGAAACATACTGGAGAAACACATTGTCATTTGAATCTGTTTGCTAAAGCTTCTCGTTCTCTATTGCTAAAATCCTTCGCCTAGAAAGTGGAGCCGTTTCGAGAACTCTTAAGTGTTCCTGCGGGAACTGGTTGAATTCACTTAGGAGAGGCATGCGAGAAGAGAAAACTTAAACCAAAGGCCCCTTTACCAGACATAACCCCTCGATTATTAAAGTTGAATAACATTCATCCCAAATACAAGTAATGTACTTTTTCCTGCTACTCCTGCATATCTCTGCATGCTTTGTACCACAGGACTGTGTCTTATCAGTTAATAAACCCAATGTACTTTTACATCGGCAGAATTTAAGTGGTTTCACAATGTTTCAAGCATGTCAACCGGATCGCACCGAAGATGGCTCACACCAGAAAACCGAAGAGGCCATGATACTGCGTTAAATTTTACAGTTTTGCACTCATCTAATATGCGCAACCTTGGTGGTATGTGTGGAGCACTCACGAAAAACTGAACGCGGAGAATACATGTGACCAGTACGCCCTCGTTTCTCGACTAAATGCATTCACATGGAACGAATTCGTTAAATCATCACGGTATCCTATCAGTGAATTGATTGCAGAGAGCGAAAACTATAGGCAGTTATTCCATTAACGACTATACTCCCAGACCACAAGTGGTAAATTGTAAAGCGTACAAGCATTGGCATTGTACTGCCTACAAGTTGAAGTATCTTAGCTCTTTCAGTGATCACAAAATTTCCCAAAAAGTGGAGAGCAAAGGTTTATTGACGTGCAACATTTGGTGGAAAATCTGTTCTCTAATAATTAGTACATTACCAGATTGTTTACCACTCTATACAGGCATCCACTTCTGACGCTGTTACGAGAATGTCCAGCATTCCCCAACATCCTTCTAACAGTTCACTTGGACGTCCAGTGGCTGCATTTATGAATGTCTAGCAACAAGTTGGCTAACTGAAGAGCAGAGCAAGGAACTCATTAATAACACATATCATAAAAATATGGGCCCACTGAATTCCCCGACTAAAAATTTGTTAACGTGCTCCCATTGAAAGACTATTCTGAGCTGGTGTGTGCTGTTGGTTTTACAAACGATCTCTCCTAATGTATTATCACACAGTTTTCTGAAGACAATAACTATTAACTTACATTGTCTTCTAGTGCGTTGCTTCACCTTTCGGTTCCATGGAATTCCAGTGCATGGTTACTTCCCGACAGACGAACTCAAGACTCAGATCCGGATTAAGTAACATTCTTATTAGTCAAGCTCCTAAAATTCTTGAATTTAGAAGTGGTTTGGAAGTCCGAAATATAGCGTTTTGGAATTTAAATACAATTGGGGATACATTGAGCTACAATATTGAGCTACAACACTTTAAATACTAAGGGAAAATGCGCTATCTTAATGGTCACTGCTATGTATCCAACTGCCTACGCTGTTCAAAGCCGCTTTTACAATATCAACTTAACTTATGACTGCGCACGAAACATTTGCAAAGGAAACACTCATCGATAAGAATATTAATAACGGTAATAATGTATCTCGGAAACAGGAGACACGGTCCAACTAATAACTGCGGATCATTAGGTGCAGGTTTTATTCGGAATTATCAACACAAGTTGTTCATCAGTAGCTAGAGAATTTGATTTCGTTTGCTTACAGATATCGAGCAGATATTTACAATGAAAATGCATTGTTTGTCGTGGGTACTCTTCTTTCTTAATCGCATTGTCGTATGTGCGCTCTTCAGTTGCAGTCTTTCTTGGGCCAGATCCACAACGTCGAGCACGCCTTGCTGAAGCGTATCTTGCCAAGTTATCAAGCCTCTCTAACTGGTTTGTCACCCACGGAATCGATTCATTGTTGTTCTGTCGAACCTCTCTCTTGTTGGGTCATGAAGCCGCGAAGAAATCTACTGAAGTGGTTGTCCGGTTGATTGATTTCACTCATTGGAGCGAAATGACGAGTTCTGATGTTCCATCAGAGGCGAAAACCATTAAGGAGCTTACCACAGGTTTCTCGCATGCGCTTACGGTTCTGATGGACATGATTGAGGTAATCGCTCAGCCGTCTAGGAACGGTAGCTAACAGACAGGATGAGCGATGACGCACTTTTGTCGAAGAGGCAGTCCACATCATTTGGTCTATCGCAGGGAATGAGAAAAATACAATGTGCTTTCAAGTCGACTCTATGTTACCACCACACATAATCTGGCTTAGGAATAAACTGTTTTGATGCTACAGATTCGACCATATTTTTCTCTAATTTTTGTAACTGCAGAAATTGCTTCGTCACACCACTGCATGTATTTCAACAATCAGATTATTTGAAATATTTCTTGTGCATATAACATGTATGCCTCCACACCCTCGCATCTTTTACGTTGCAACCTGTCATGTATACGAGAGAGGCAAATCAGTTCTCTTTCGAATAACTTAGTAGGTCCGGTTGGACGAAGCCGCCTTGACACACAAACGAACACAAACCAAAGCGAACATTAACCATGAAATTAGCGTCTCGGCAGAGATGAACCAAGTATAAACTAATATTTCTTTTTTTATCCACCGCTACTGGTTACTAAGCGAAATAGTAACTTTCAGCGCTTAGGGTTTTAGGACCCTTGAAAATGTCAGCAGTTATCAAGTGGAAAGTACAAAATCTTGAAATTTGTCTATGACACTAATTAAGAAGATGGAACAGAGGCTGGTCGTTTAGCGGAGCTTACACGAGGCTGAACCATCAGTCTTCAAGAATACCATCAGCTTAAGCTATGGCAAAACGTTGAGCTAACGGTACATACAATAGGATGCTTGGTCAATTCCAGAAACGTGCAGGAGTTTGAATAACTTATCTTGGAAACTGTAGTGTGATCACCACTGCCTGGTTGCATGTATTATATCCAAGATGCAGAGGCATCTCAAAAGTAAACAACCAGATAGAAGGATGAGAGTACAACTAATTATAATGTAGGTTCTGCTTTTGCTTTCGGTCTTAGCTACTGTCGGAGATTTTCAGACAGTTACTGACACTCTCTGAGACAGATTACGCCAACACGTAATATGAAACGGCAGTCAAGTGGATTTGGGGTGAAGATGGATCGATAGAGTGGAACCTCAAGTAGTTACAGGATTCTTTACGGTCACTGTAACTGTGTTGTATATGCGATGTTCCACGAGAAGAATTCGATCAATAGTAGATTAACAGGAAGAAGCAGGATGCATCTACCACTTGGCGTTGAGCTCCATTTCGACTAAGGTGCCCATCGAAAACAGGCCAAAGTGTGATTTTGACTATTTGCTACGAAGATTAAGCAGATAAAATGTGATACGTGTGACGCGGGTTGCAGTGCGAAAGTATATTAAAGGGAGCGGGAATGCTGTAATTGAATGAACTACTGAGTACCTAGGGTAACTTGATTGCTTGAGTAAAGTCCTGCAGGCCAAGCAGCCTTGGATTGGAATGCTAATTCAGTCTTAAGAGTCAATGTGTATCGCTGCTCAGGTGTTGACGGCTAATCCGATCTAATCTACTAAAACCAATGTTCCTCATCATCATCATTATACACATTAGCTGCAGGTGAAAAACACCTCAGCTATTGTGCCGCAATACAAAAGACAAGAAAAGGAAAACAAACAGTGGCACCCCCGCTGAGTTCCCGGTAACCGATCGACATCGTTCCGGAGAGCTAACAGCTGGCTATCGTGCCGTAAAAAGGGAGTCATATTATGTCTAATGAGAGAGATCGTGATTGGAGAGGGATGGACAAAGGAACTCATAACACAAACGCAATTGGGGCCGGCTCCAAGCCATATAAGCAAGCGTGTCCAACCAAACGTGTTCACCGTCCTTAGGACCCCAGCCAGGCAATCGTGATGCACCAACTGATGCCAAATTCGAAGTGAGGGTTTTCATCTCTCTCGACCAAGTCATCGCTTGGCCTCCTCTCATCTTCCAACCGCACCCACAACGCCCAAACAATGCTCCCACCAGACATGAGCTATGCTGCGAAGGCAGCGATGATCGAATATGACGATCCTCTTTATTTGCATACTAGTGGGAGTGAGCAGAAAAGTGACTTACATCCGAGGTAATGTGGTACAGTAAACTTTCTTCGGTTAACACAAAGTGCTGCTTGGCATGTTTGGGAGCTATCATGTTCTTGGAAATGTGATGATAACAGTAACTCTTTATGAGCTCAATAGTGTATGATGGGATAAAATGTATAACTTTACAGGACTTACAGGATAACAAATACCCAAGCAATTTTAAATCAAAATTGTTCCAACGTGGAACCTGAATCATCAGTAGTAAAGACGTCGCACATTATCACACTGTTGTGTAGCGTTTAGCGCTAACATGAAAGCCTACCCGTCTCTCGAATCTCGCGAGGTCTGGTGTGTTAACCACATGTGTTGGTAGTGCATTCAAGTGGGACTAGATTCGAGGAGAGTAAAAATACTTCCTATAATATAAACGAGAGTGTTGCGTTACTCGTTTCAGTCGATGGCGTCGACATTTTTCGTAAGGGGTTAGGGTTATTGGTGATGCACATGTGTGCTCGCTTTCAGTAAGTATCCGGTATGTGAAGACAAGATCCCCGCGTAGCCGTCGGTATTCTGAGGAGACAAGTTCTCGTGCGGCCGCATTTTAACTGGGCTCTCGGTTTGCCCTCTGTGGCCACTCTAATTCTCCCCACACAATATTGTGCGTGCGCTCGTTCGAACCAGTTCGAGGAGCTCTACTCTGTGCTTCCCATCTCTTGGATCTAACCTGTGTGAAGTATACTCTTGCTCCAATTCCCAGTTTTCGGCATATTCTTTGCCGAATTCCACTTGTGTAACTACATCAAACCGGTTTTTCGGAAAAGATTTTGGTCTCATTCGGTAGAAGAGGCTGAGGCCTCCCAAACTAAGCGGTAACCATCCCTGCAAGTTACAGCAGAACCAAGTTACAGCCTTTTTGCTCCGCTCATCAACTGAACAGCGCTAGGGACTCTTATCAGCGCTCCGCCTGCATCGTCGCAGGCCGATTAACACACGCTGCTGCATTCTGTGGGTGTGTGTGTTCAACTGCGAGTCGATTGATCGCTGAACCCGGCGGTCTACGCGTTACGACCTCCATCTGGCTCTACCGCCTGACCTTGGTGCGGTTGAACAACTCTCAATTCGTGTGCGTGTTCTGACCTATTCGTGCGTCACCCCTAGAGAAAAGAACACTCATCAAGGTGAGCGGTTAGATAAGCCTTGCTGTAAATAATAAGAGGACGACTAGCATTCCAATGGTTCAACATCGCCCATGTTGCGCAGACAATTGGAGTAAAGTCCTTAAGATCAGTATTACCTGTTGTACCTGCATTAGATCGTACTGTCCGCAATGTGTCGGCAAATCCGTCCAAGAAGTGAGACAGACAAACAAGGTTGCTGACACAATTTGGTTTTGCTCAACATGTCAAGTCATTCCAGTTGTCAACTGTTTATCTTTGCTCATGAAAAAGTGCGATAGGATAACTGAGATAATCGCGCAATTTGTAAATACTAAGCTCGATCCCACGGAGGTAAATATGTCCTTCATAATACCTCACCCAGCCAAAGTAAGCTCCGAATCTAAGCCGAAGAAGAGAGCTAGACGCTCCAACCGCACTGCAGCATCTGTGACTCTAAATCCACTGGGTCACCTCCCTCCCATAAGTGGACAAGCCTCAAACATGCCTGCTTCCACTTCCCTAAACATAGATGCTTCGTTTGGAGATTCAGCCATGACACTGACAGCTCAAAGCCGAAGGAAATCCGGTACAGATAACAAGCAGGTAACGTAATCATCGATTGCGTCCACAAACACACAGGGACGACACACATAGGTCCATCTTCAGTACGGAGCACGCGTGGCGCAAAGCAGCTTTCACCGTCAACTCCAGTGGTGCCTTCTAAACAACCCGAATTGCCAGCAAAAGGTATAAAGCCAAAACTCGCTCGACAAAACCACGCTGCGTTAACTCTCGTATGCACCAATGTTCCCGAATCCAAATCTGGCACAATAAAATGCAAGTTGCAAGACCATCGCAACCAGTGGAGTTCCATCTGCGAGGCGATTGGTATTCGGGTTGAGCCTGCAATGCTGCAACGCGTAGCGCGTCACCCGACCTAAGTGCACTCTGGTGAACCTCGAATTCTTCGAGTAACACTAGCTCAGCAGATGAGACAGAGGCTTTCCTGCCCTCAGCAGTTCGTCTTCGCAACTCACCGAGCGGAGTGCGCATATTACCTGCTCTACCTTGGAAAGATCGCCCAAAAGAAGTAGTTGAGCAACGCGGCATTCCTAATAGGGATAGCAAGAATACAACATTTGTTCATAGTGTTCCCGAGCTTCAGCATTCTTCTGATCACGATGCGCAGACACATGACCGAGAGCAATGGTGCTACATCCGCGAAGCACTCTCTGTTGACAATATTATTGCAAAATCCCTGGCAAGAGTTCCGTCATCACCTAACTACCAGGGTTGCGGTCCAAGGCTAATGAAAGTAATACTACACTCCGAGGGAATGACGCAAGTTCTGTTGGATAGCTGGTTAAAGTTTCGAGCTAGGCTGTCAACAGAGATCCGGCTAAAAGCAGCAGTCGAACGACCAAAAGTCGGAAGCAATTCAATGGAACTTGCAAACGTAACAAATTCTTTATTTGCACAGTCCTGCGGAGAGACTGACACAACAGCGCCCACAGCACACAACAGGACAGCGCACAACGCGAGTGAAACGTCTGTTCAGAAATGCTCAACAATGCCATGTAACTTGACTAAAATACATAACCCCAAAAACGATTAATGGCCGGCCACCTAACGGCCGGCTTAAAAACTAACACAAAGTTGACATCCGTCAACGCACTCCTGATAACAAAAGCCTTATATTGCATGTACACAAACGCCCAAGGCCTTCTAAGCAAGTTGGTCGAACCTAGTGAAATACATGCCTCACAACCGCGGGACCTCGTCATGCTTACAGAGACACGGTTAAACCCTGAGGTAACCGGTTCTGAGATCAACTTACCCGGTATGTCGCTGCTTCGGACCGATAGAACCGGAAAGGGTGGCGGT